GACGACGTGCTGCAGTCATAGGCCAGCGCTCTGCAGGACGTCCGTGGTGCGTCGGCACCGCGGCCGCAGCTGCCAGACGCAGCTGCCAGCGCTCTGCAGGACGTCCGTGGTGCAGACGCGGCCCTGGCGCCCCCCCGAACCAGCGGGCACGCCCGGGGGCGCGCAGGCAGTCGTCGCGGCCCCAGCGCCGCGGCTCGTGCGCGGAGGGGCAGCGGCGCAGGGATGCGCGCGGAGGCGACCGCGCGTGAAGCACCGCGGGGGGCGCGCAGCGCGAGGCCGGGTCCTTGGTGTCGCTCGGGCGTGTGCACTTTCGCTCGGCGGGGATTATTGAGGAGCATCCTGGATCATCCTGCGAAAAAACCACGCACGAGACCGAGCAAAAGCACAGGGAATGGCCGTCCGAGCGACGGGGAGGGTCGGGACTGGTCGCAGCCGCTGCCCTCTCGCAAGGCCTCTTCCCGGTCCCCCGGGGGCGGCCAGGACTCCGAGGAGCAACGAGTCATGGCATGCAGCGGCACTCTGCCAGCTTGCCAGCTCTCCCTGCTCCGCGCGCACTCCAGAGGCCAGGGCCGCGAGATGCTCCAGAAGCCCACGGAGCGCATCCTGCATCCTGAGCCGCGAGATGCTCCAGAGCTCGTGCCGAGTACGTCAGAACTCGGGTTTGCCGACGCGTTTTGACGAGCGCGTCGTGGATTTTGACGGTCCACTTTTCGTGGAATGTTTGCAGCGGGAGCTCGCGTCAAATTTCAGATTGAGCCGTCGTTTTCATGATGGTCGCGCGCATCGTGTCCTGGCCGCCGCCGTCGGCAGCGCCGTGCCCTGAAGCCTGACGTTGCGAGCAAGAGGCAGCATCGCGAAAAATCGCGACCAGCGCCCCAGGCCCTGTCTTTCTGCGGCATTCTTCGGGCCCGATCGATCCGTCATGGTCCCGGGGCCCGAAGCAGGGCGAGCACGCCTGCAGCGTGCACGCGCCACCGCCGCCGACGGCGTCGCTGCCAGCGCCGTCGCCAGCCCGCCGCAGCTCTCCGCCGCCGAAGTCGGAGCCGCCGACGACGAGCGAGCAGCACACGCCCATACCCGTGGGAAGGTCAGGGGAAGGAGGGCTGGCTACGGGTATGGGTGCGGCCTGTCGGACCCTGGGGGGGGGGGCTCCCGTTCGAACGGGGACCCCCACCCGACAACACGCACCCATGGCCCCCTCCGTCCCCCCCCCCCCCAATGGGTGTGGGTGCGTGTTGCTCGCCCGTCCGCCGCGGGCTCTCGGGGGGGGGGCCTCCCGCACGCCTCAGGCGAGAGAGGGAGGCGGCGCGGCTCGCTGGGGTGAAGGACGGCCGCCGCCGCCGGGGGGGGGGGGCCCGCAGGCCATCGCAGGCCGGCCCAGACCTCCGAGGGCCTCATACAGTCGGGGCGCTGAAGAAGGAACTCTTTTCGTTGGGCAGGGGCTCCGTGTTCCTCAATTGTTTCACAGTTTGCCCCACGTTCTCACCAGGTCTTCGAGGGGCAATCGAAGTTCAACTTCTGGAGAAACGGGGCCTCGTTCCTTATTTAGAGATTCAGAGGGTTCCTTAGGTCAGCGCCCCGACTGTAGCTGCACAGCTGCCCCGGTGCGCAGCCCGCGCCCCGCGGCGTGCCGGCGGCACGGAGCTCGGCGCACGCGCGGGCGGAGAACGCGCAGGCCCGGCACGCGAGGCGCTCGCCAAGGCGGCGTGGGCCGACCCGCTTTGAGCCGGCAGGCGGCGTGTCGGGGCGGACGCCGTCTTGAGCCAGGGGTGCGCGCTGCGTCTCAGAGCGGGCGCATCGGGGCAGCTATGCTGACGACGCATTTTTGTCCGCAGGGCCCAAAGTTCGAGGCTTTCATGCTTTTTCGCCTTTTGGCCGGTTTTGCAGCCTCGGGACGCTTTTCAGCGGCTGCGCCTCGCTGAGGGGGCCCCGGTCGGCGGAGGCCCGAGTTGTGGCCCGACGACCACCGGAGACCCAGAGATCTCCAGCGAGGCGTTTTTCTTCAACCCCAGCGTTCTCCTCCGATCTCGGCCTCGTGGGGCCCGTCCTCGGCTCCCGGGGCCATCGCGCGGACCCGGGGCGACAGCCGGCCCCCGCCAGGGAGGGGCTCGGGACCTCTCTCCGGGGGTGTTGCCAGAAGTGCCCCTGGCCGGATTCTCGGGGTGGCCCGGGCGGCCTCCAGGGCACACCTCACGAGGCCCAGAAGGCCCCCATGGCTCCAAGATGGTGCGAGAAGCTGGGGGCACCTTGGACCAGGGGCACTCCTAGCAGCACCCGATGTAGGGGGTTGCCAAAGGTGCCCCTGGCCAAAGGTACCCCCGGCTTTTCGCTCAACTTTGGACCCCTGGGGCCATCTGGGCCTCGTGAGGGGTGCTCTGGAGGCCTTGGGGGCCTCCTTGGAAATCCTGGGGGCACCTTGGACCAGGGGCACTCCTAGCAGCACCCGACCTCTCCGGGGCCGCGCGCCGCGACGATCCCAGCGTCGGGCGCTTGACGTCCGGGCAGGGGGCCGCTCCGCTGCGGGGCCGCGGCGCGGCGGGCCTGCGGGCCGCGCGCTCTGCTCCGATCGGGGGGGGGGCCTCGGCGTCGCTCGGGCGTGGGCACTTTTTTTTCTCGGCGAGGACGTTTCGAGGAGCGCCGTTGGAAGCGTTCATTTATCGTTCCAGGGGGGTGAGTTAGTGTTAGTCCGGTTTTTCACTCGTCACGGCTGAAGGAAAGTTGAGTGTTTCGCGGCTTGTTGTTACTATTCAAGCCTGCTGCGGCCAGGGTCCAGCGCTGCATTGCCGGGGGTGATGCGAGAAGTGGGCGCACGAAGCCGAGGCACGCACGGGGAAGGGGCGTCCGAGCGATGGCGAGGGGGGATTCGCCATGCCGCAGACGGGTCTGGAGGGGAGCGGTCCTGGCGTTTCTTCGCCGTCTCGGGGAGGGCCGTCCAGGAGCAGCTCGGGACGAAGAGCTGGTCCCGGGGGAAGGCCCGGGGAGGCAGGGCCCGCTTTCCTCGGTGAGCCCGTCTCCTTCATGCCAACGGGTACTCCAGATTTCGTAGGAGAAGGGAGGGGGTCACAACCCTCCCAGACGAGCAGTTTTAGACTCCCCCCAGATCAGCCACGAAGTGGCGGCCTTTCGCCCATACCCGACTGGAAGCAATCTTCCAAGACAGCTCAAACCAGGCCCCCCCAGATGTGACCCCCCCCCCGAGTGGATCGGCGGGAGATCTGGACAGCGGGGGGACCAACATGGCCTTCGTGCCGCTGATTCGCTACCCCGTCCTCTCCATGTCAGCCTGTGACTAACACAATACACAACACGCCAGGCGCGTGATGAAACAGTGGGTTTCCCTGCTCTGGCGAACCGCGGGGGGGGGGGGGGGGCGCCCGCCACACGGAAGCACACCGCGGCGGCGCCGGTGATGCGTGCCGGCGCCCGGCCGACACCTGGAGGGCGACGGGCGCGGCGCAAGCGGCGCCGCCGCTTCAGCGGGGGGGGGACAGCAGCGCCTCCACTGCAGCAGGGCGGGTGGGCCACAGTGTCAGGCAGTGGCGAAGCGTCCCGGCTCGCCCATAGGCCCACCAAAGGCTGTTCTAGGAACTTTGTGTGGCTTCCACGAGATGTTCTTGGAACATTTCTGGCTGGGACTGTCTTGCTTTGACACGTCGGGCTCATGTTCTAAGAACACGGGTTTGGGTATTCGAACAGTTCTGGGTTCTAAGAACATGTCGTGGTAGGCCTATAGAGATGCCGGGACGGTCGGTCCCTGCTCAACAATGGCTTCAGACAGGAAAGAAAAGGAGGCGGGAGGAAGAGGTGCCTCACAGTTGGCGGGCAGTGCCGACAAGGCTACAAACAAAATTATCCCAGTGCGACCCTACCTAGGAGTTGGAACCCCCAGGAAAGCAGCATTAGTAGTAACAGTAACGCTAAGCTAAAGCTAAGCTAAAGCTAAGCTAAAGCTAAGCCACAGCTGAGCTAAAGTTAAGCTAAAGCTAAGCTAAAGCTAAGCTAAATTTAAGCTAAAGCTAAGCTAAAGCTAAGCTAAAGCTGAGCAACAGCTAAGCTAAAGCTAAGCTACAGCTAAGCTAAAGCTAAGCTAAAGCTAAGCTAAAGCTAAGCTAAAGCTAAGCTAAGCTAAGCTAAGCTAAAGCTAAAAGCTAAAGCTAAGCTAAAGCTAAGCTAAGCGAAACGCTAAGCTAAAGCTAAGCTACAGCTAAGCTAAAGCTAAGCTAAAGCTAAGCTAAAGCTAAAGCTAAAGCTCCCCAGGGGACTGGGGGGAACCGCGGGGCGGGGACTGGGGGAACCGCCCGGGGCGCTTTACACTGCCCGGCCCCTTTAAGCTAAGAGAGTAAGAACCCTTCTAGGCAGAGCCTAGGTAGGGAAAAAGGGAAGAGGGGGGAGGAGCGGCCCAGGCAGGCGGCAATGGCTCCTCCTTTTCCTTCTCTACCCCTTCCCCCCTCCCCACCTCCACTACCATATGCCCTAGGGGGATGCTGCGTGGACCCGACAACGACGACGACGACGACGACGACGACGACGACGACGACCACGACCACGACCACGACCACGACCACGACCACGACCACGACCACGACGGCGACAGGGTCACCAACGGGACGACCGACGACGCGCGCGCGCACGCTGCGGATGCACTATAGGAGGGAGGGGGGATGATGTGCAGGGTCCCTGCAGGGCCGCCGTGGATGATGACGACGACGACGATGACGAAGACGACGGAGACGACGGACGCACGACGACGACGACGACGACGACGACGACGACGACGGCGACGGCGACGGCGACGGCGACGGCGACGGCGACGGCGACGGCGACGGCGACGGCGACGGCGACGGCGAGGGCGAGGGCGACGGCGACGACAAGGGCGACGGCGACGGCGACGGCGACTGCGACGGCGATGGCGACGGCGACGACGGTGACGACGACGACGACGACGACGACGACGCACTGCGGATGCCCCATGAGGGGGTGGGGGGCTGTGTAGGCCCGCTGCAGTCGACGACGACGGCGTCGACGATGACGACGACCACGCCAACGACGACGACCACGCCGACGACCTCGACGACGACTCTGGTACGTCAGGAATCAGCCTGAGAGGGGGGACACGTTCGCATCGGATATATACGATCCCTACTACGACCTTTATACGACAGGCAATCGTGTGTAGGCTGCCGTGCAGGTGTGTACACGATCCCCTCGGCGGCGCCCGCGACGACCCCCTGGCGCGCGTGATCCAAAAATAGTTTCGCGCCCCGCGGGATGTATTCATCAGCCTTGAGATGCAGGAGGGGAGCGAGGGGGCGGTCATTTGTTAATCACAAGCTGACATTGCTGCCCCCATCCTTCCCCGGGCGACGAGCGTCTTTGGCCCAGGAAATCATCACCTCCAGTGTGCGAGCGGCTTCGTTCCACATGTGAGCAGGTTTGTTGGAGGACCTCTTGAGCGAACGTGCTCGTGCCCTGAGCTGGCGACCTTTTGGGAGTGGAGCTTCCAACGAGCGACTTCACCGCAGGTGGCCACGGGCCCCACCTTAGCCTTTTGTCTTTGGGCGGTCCCCAGAAATCTGAGCGAAACTGGGGCCCCAAAGGGTACTCGTTCCCTGTTTGAGGCGACTTGTTGCAATTAGGACTGTGACTGCACTTTTCCTAGCAGGCTGCATCGTTGACCTGCCCTGAGCACCCTGAAACCGCATCGAGCCAAGCAGAACTCGAGGAGGGACGCGGCTGGATCTGTTCAGCGCACTCGTAGCTGACAGCCTCCGCCTCGACCGCCCCCCCACCGTGGCAGCTACCGTGGCGCCGTCATCCCCGCTGCCCGGCACCCGCTGCGCCACTGGCCGTGCCTCGTGGGGCGGACCGGGCGCCCCCCTTTCTGGCGACGCGGCAGGGACGCGGCCCCAGAGACCCCCGACGTCATGATCTTCTCATGACGTCGACCCCCCGAGGTCTCGACCCCTTCCCCGGGACCAGTTTGTCGTCCCGAGTCGTTTTGTTCACGGTCCCGAGGGCCGGTCAGGGCCCCCGGAGGCCAAAAAGAATGAAAAAGCCTCCCGTCGTGATTTTTTCATAACTCGAGGGGGTCTGGCTACGCGGCAGGGACGCGGCTGGAGATGAGAGCAACCAGGCAGAGGCCACCGTGCCCGGGCGCTCCCCAGCCGGCGCCCCCCCTGTCTTTCTGCTCTCTGCGGCTGCCCTCTCCTCCTGCGTCCCCCCCTTCCTTGGCATGGGGTCCATGCTGCAATGCGCCCAGGGTGTAGTCGGGGCGCCGAAGAGGGAAGCCTTCTCGTTGGGGAGGGGCTCCGTGTTCCCTCATTGTTTTGCAGCTTGCCTCAGGTGTCCCTTATGCTTTCGATGGGAAGTCGAAGTTTAACTTCTCGAAAAAAAGGGGCCTCGCTCCTCATTTAGGGTTCCTTGGGTCAACGCCCCGACCTGTATGGGTGACAGGAGCGGAGCAGAGCCAAGAAACGCCCTGCATCCCTGGCCTGGCATCGCCCGGACGTGTGCATGTTTTCCTTCGGCGAGGACCATCGAGGAGCATCCTGGATCATTGGGCGAGAAAACCACGCACGAAGCCGACCAAAAAAACACAGGGAATGGACGTCCGAGCGATGGCCAGCTGGCAGTGCACGGCAGCATGCCGCCTCTCCACGACGTGCGGGTGGGCGGAAGAGGAGGAGGAGGAGGAGGAGGAGGAGGAGGAGGAGGAGGAGGAGGAGGAGGAGGAGGAGGAGGAGGAGGAGCAGGAGCAGGAGGAGGAGGAGAGAAGGAGGAGCAGGAGGAGGAGGAGGAGGAGGGCGCGCACGGGCCAGCCCTCGCCCGCCCGTGCCCGGCAGGCGGCCGCGCGCCCCCTCCGCGGGCCCCTGCGGGCCCGACGTCTCTCGGCCCGCAGCTGTGCGCACCCGGCCGCAGAGGCGCCTGGCCCACGGCCCGCCCGCGGGTGCCGGCAGGCCCTCCGGGCGGAAGGGCGCGCGCTTTTCCCTCCGACCGGGTATAGCTCAGGAGGAAAGGAAACACACAGACACAATGAATCGTCGATCCCCCAGAAAATATGGGAAAATATGGGAAGTGGGGGGGGGGGGGCAGAAACCTAGAAAATATGGGAAAATATGGGGAATATCTTTATTTGTGTGTATTTATTTGTGTGTCCTGGGGCCCCTTCAGTAGCCACATCCCTCGTCGAAATTGAACCAAGTCATACCACGCGCCTCCTCGTCAAGCTGCCTGACCAGCGCAGGCCGCAGTTTGCCGTCGCTTGGTATCTCTTGGAAGCGAGGGTGGTCAAAAGCGAGGGAGGTTTGTTTGCCCCCTAATAGCCACATCCCTCGTCGAAACTGAACGCAAGTTTTAGCTGCGACCTGGCGGCGCCCCCCGACCCCCAATTTCAATGTTCACGCCGACGCCGGCGACTTCGAGATTTTCTTCGGGCCCCGCCAGCCGCGATGCGCCTGTCGATGAACATTGAAATTTGGGGGCGACGGGGTGGTTGCAGGACCCCGGGTAAGGGGACCCGGTTAGTGGTACAGGGCCCTGGGGCCCCTCAGTCGGCCAGGTTCACTAAGCCAGGTTTGCCGTAGCTGGTGTTTTTCGGGTGGCGGCAGTTCAGGTTGCTGGAAATGGGACGGGGGGGGCGCCCCCGGTACAAATCATTAAACCAGGTTCCACTCAACGCAGTTTTGCCAACGCCCGATCAGAGGAGCAGAAGGAAGTCCTGCGGAGGATGCGCCCCAGGATCTCTGATGTCTGCAGTCGTCGAGGGGAGAATAGCCCCGAAGCCTCAGAGCACAGTGAAGAGACGTGGCCCCGTCTTCGCATTCGGGACAGAGATCCTGGGCGGTTTGGTGCGGTACGTCTGCAGAGTAGACCCTGTCCCCAATTAATGTTCTTGGCCCTCCTGCGCTGGGTCCCCTCCCAGAGCGTTAGAAGCCTTCTTCGCTTCGCCACACAGGGGGGTTCCAGGACTCCCGCTCGTCCCGCGCGGGCTCCAGGCACGAGGGCCGCAGGAGACGCCGGAGCTCCCCCCGGACCATATATCCGGAGCCACCCCGGCGCAGCACGACCCCATTCTGCCCGCCGCACTTCCCCCGAGGAGGAGTGCAAGGACGAGCTGCCGGACGAGCAGCCCCCGCCGCAGAGCCTGGCCGCGCCCGTGGCCGCCCCGGCCCCGGCCCCCGCGGTCAAGGAGGAGGGCCCGGACGCCGCCGGCTCCAGGAGGCGAGCTTGCAGGGAGGGCGTGGGGCCCGCCCCGGGGATTCGGGCGTATTTCGGGGGAGCGTAAGACCCGTGTTTGCCAGGACTCGGGTTCGCCATCGTTTTTTGACGACCGCGCCTCGGATTTCGACGAGGAGGAGTTTCGTGGGATGTCTGCAGCGGGAGGCCTCGTCAAAATGCAGGCTCGGCCTCGTCATTTTTTGACGACCTCGTCGGGGATTTCCGAGTCCCCTGTACCCAGGCCTTACGTCCCCCTGAGTACTGCACTTCTTGTGGCGCCGGGCACGTTCTCGCCCGGCTACCCGTGCCCCGAGGCCACCGCCAGAGGTGGGCCCAGCTCGGGCAGAAGTGCCGCAGAGAGAGAGAATTAGGGCTCCTGGGGCTCCCGTCGTGTGCGCTTTCGCGACGTTGCGTGTCCGTTCGCAGCGTCGGCTCTCCGGGGCCTCCGACCTCTCTCCCTCGCTCCTCCCGACGGGCCCGCGCGTGTTCTCTCTCTTCTCTGTCGTCGGCGTCGCTGCCCAGGGCGGCCGTGTGGCCGCACGCCCAGCCTGCCGACGGAGGGCGCGCCCGCCCGCGAGGGCGGGCGCAGAATGAGGCGCTTTGCGTGGCGCGTGCCATCGGGATGCCTCGGGTGCTGGTTGCGGTCTCCCACGGACTGGGGAGGCGATTCCTGGCACGATTCCAGGGGCTGCTTCTGTTTACCAGCCTCGAACTTCTCCCTATCCCTGAGATTGACGCGCCAAGAGGCGATGGCAATCTCAGGGATGCGGCCTCAAAAAGTAAGGGAATCCCTGAGATTGGCATCGTGATGAGGAGATGCCCAGCATAGGGATAGGCATATTTTCCAGGCTGGTAATCTGTGGCGGTGCCCAGATGGGACGCCGGATGGGGCCGATCTTGATTTCAGCGGGATGGAAGACGGCTTGCGTCATCATTCAGTGTTGTGTTATGTCTTTGTGTGTGTGTGTGAGTCCGGCTGCGCGGCAGCTGTGTAGGGGCAGCAATGTACTTACGGGCAGAACAGACTTAGAAGCTTGTGTTTTCCTTGATAGCTCCTTGCAGATGGAGGCGCAACTGGGGCCCACAAAGTTTCCGTTCCATTTTTCGTATGTGAACTCTCTCAAGGCGCAATCATGATTGCACCCTGACGTTGGGCAACTTGCTCAAAGTTCCGCTTTCGACTGCACCTGCACTCTCCCGTTCCCTCTTTTCCTTCGCTTGCAGCTCCCATCCTGTTCCGAGGGAAGAGGCGGGAAAAAGGGGGAGGAGGAGGATGAGCAGGAGGAGGTGCAGGAGGAGGAGGAGGACGAGGAGGAGGAGGAGGCGAGAGGATGTAGGAAGGAGGAACGCCCGAGGAAAGAGAGAACAGAGAGGCGGGGGGCGCGAAGAAAGAGGATGGGGGAGGATGAGGAGGAGGAGGAGGAGGAGGAGGAGGAGGGAGGCGGGTGAAGAGAAGATGAGGGACGGATTGGGAGGAGAGAGAGAGAGAGAGAATGGAAGGTGGGCGAGGCTGAGAAGCATGGAGTCAGAGGAGGTGGAGGAAGAGGTGCAATGGAAGACACGGGAAGACGTGGAGGGTAATCAGAGAGGGCTGAAGGAGGGAAGAGGGATGATGATGATAATCATGAGGTTGCACGTTTGATGGTGGTGATGATGATGATGGTGATGGTGCTGTTGCTGGTTGCGGATGATGATGAGGATGAGGATGAGGATGATGTTGTAGTTGTTGATGCTGATGATGATGCTGACGATGATGACGAGGAGGAGGATGCGGATGAGGATGGGGATGATGATGGTGACGACGATGATGATGAGGAGGAGTATGCTGATGATGATAATGATGACGACGATGATGGTGCTGATGAGGATGATGATGATGATGATGTGATGATGATGCTGCTGACGATGATGATGGTGGTGGTGGTGATGGTGTTGGTGGTGGTGGTGATGGTGTTGGTGGTGGGTGGTAGTGGTGATGATGATGGCGATGGTGGTGGTGGGTGGTGATGGTGATGATGATGGTGATGTTGTTGGTGGTGGTGTTGGGTGGTGGTGTGGTGATGACGACGATGACGCTGACAATTACGATGACGATGATACTGGTGATGATGATAACGCTGATGACGATTCTGATGATTACGATGATGATGAGGATGATGATGATGATGAAGATAATCGTTATGATTATGATAATGATAGTGATGATGATGCTGCTGATGATGAGGATGAAAATGAGGATGATGATGAGGATGAGGATGAGGATGAGGGTGAGGATGATGATGATGATGATGATGATGATGATGATGATGATGATGATGATGATGATGATGATGATGAGAATAATGATGATGATGGTGATGATGATGATGATGATGATGATGATGATGATGATGATGATGATGATGATGATGATGATGACGATGATCAGACAGTGCTTGCAGCGACGCGCTTCCACATTACCACAGCTTGTGACGCCTGCCCGAGGGAAGATGGAGATCGGGCATGCCTGGCCTCCGATTGTGTTCGATATCATGGCCGGACGGTGCCCCAAGCAGTACAGCTTACAAGTGACAGCTGCGGCATCGATTTCCTGTGCTCCTTTGCTTCATCCAGGTCCTTGGAAGGATTTCTACGTTTTCCCCGAAGTGCTTTTGGAGGCGGGCTACCCAGAAGCTTGTTGGCGGAATTCTGCTTCTGACCCTGATGATGATGATGACGATGATGATGACGCAGTTGGGGCATACGCTGTTGCAGAAGAGGTGCGAGCCGGCAGTTCTGCTCACCCGTCATCTGCTACTGGCTGTATTTCCACTGGTGTCGTGGGCCGCGCTGCCACCAACGAGACGGACATCAAGACGCGATACCGGGCCACTGCTCTGCCCGGCTCCGACGGCATGCTGTCTTTGACAACGGTGGACGGTGACCTCGTGGATTTCGACATCGGTGATCTCCAGTACCAAGCGCATGGTGCGCAGGACCTGTCTGACTTGTGGGATGATGTTGGTCTCAAGGACGCCTTGCACCGCCAAGCAGTCGCTGGCGCTCCAGCGGCCGACGTTCCCACAGCACCCGGTCCAAACGCAGCTCACACAAAGAAGAGGAATAGGCGCAAACACCGGAGTGGCAAAGCATCGAGTTCTCAAGAGGGGCATCTTCGTGCAGCCGCGGCAGAATTCTCATCGGACCCCCAAGCGGCGCCAGAGTTCTCACACGTGGATTTTTTACAGCCCGGCGACCTTGCACGTTGCAATCCTAAGTTAAGTTCCATTATTCCGATGGCTCTTCAAGGATTGGGCCCCTGAAGGGCTCCCACCTTTGAAGTACAGCTGTTGCTCGGGTTCCCCAGTGGACATCCTGAGCGCTCATGGATTCGAGCTGGCGCCTCCTTGGTCATGAGGGCTTGGCGGTGGCAGTCGCGGTCGTCTGTGTCCTCCAGCTCCTCGCGGGGAGCCCGAGCACAATGGGCCGCTGCGGCTTACCTCGACGAGCTCCTGGCCGTTCTGGGTGGGTCCAAGGGGGCTTGGCGGCGGGAGTCGCGGACGTCTATGTCCTCCAGCTCCTCGCAAGGAGCCCGAGCACAATGGGCCGCCGCGGCTTACTTCGGCGAGCTCCTGGCCGTTCCAGATGTGAGCCCCCGCCAGTTTGATCCACTCCACCCCTCCTCGTCGTCCTCCTCTCCCTCGTTGTCCTCTCCTTCTCCGCTGTGTCCGCGGCCTTGCTCGGGTCGTCGACGATCCGTAGCCGTAGTCCCCGTCAGCCATCATATTTTCCAGCTAAATATATCGCAGAGCAACGCAGCTCTTTGGGGCCAGCCCGCGCGCGTCAGTCACGTCGTCGGCATGTCGGCAAGGTTTTTTCAATACTACGGTGCACTTCTGTGGTGATCGGTGTCGGGCCACTTGCCCTGGGCCTGATCTCTGGACATGCGGACGCAATCCCATTTCTAGAAACAAAAAAAATGCCTGGCCTCCGATGCGGCGTCGGTGCCCAAGGATCGGCTGCCCAGCGTCAAAACAACTCATCGCGGCGAGCAGCAGACAGCGACCACCGGCAGCATGAGCAGGAGAGGGAGACCCCCTCCCACGAGCGGCCTGGGATTCGGAACCACGAGCTCACACTGCACACAAAAGCGAAACCACAAGAGGCCGACAGGAGAGGCACCCACAGGAGCTTAGCTGCCCAGCCCACACCGGGCGGGGTGAGGAGCCGGGCCACGCTCCCCTCCTGTCCAGCCAGGCCGCCGGTGAGGGCAAACTGAGATGTGATGCTCTCAAGAGAGCTTTGGCCCATCCGGGGCCACGCAAAAACATCATCCCCAGCTGTAATGGGACGGGGCTGCTCGATGTCTTCTTTGTTGCCTGGGTTCTTGCACAGCAGGAAGCGTTGGAGACGGTGCTTACGATTGGGGTCCGTTAGACTAGCCTCAGGATCGCTCGGAAGCCAAAGGAGCTCACGAGGGCTTCTCTTGCGTGCGTACGCTCCGCAATCGACGCAGGCAGCTTGAGGCCAGAAACATGAATGTGATGGCCCCTCGCCGCCTCTGGCCGAATTGGGCATGTGACTGGAAGGGGCTGGCTGCTCGTAGCCGTTGCTGATGCTCATGGCTGGCCGCCTCTCTGGCGCTTGCGCGGAGGGGGAACGACAAGCGAGGGAGACTCAGCAGAGGCAGCAGGAGGCGCAGACGAGGGAACAGGAAGAGTTGGGGCAACGGCATGCCGCTAAGCAGGGGAACCTGCACCACGAAGTGCACCTACCGTCCCCACCAACCGAGCCCCACCGCTAGCAACACCATCACCTCGACGCCCACCAGCACCGTCCCTTGCCCGCTTGGATGCCGTAGGCTGCGTAGCACCTGTGGCTGTGGCAACTGCCATCGTTAGACTGCTCACGATCATGTTTGGATCGGCCGCGCGGCATGGTCCTATCTCAGGCTGCTCGCAAAACCGCACGCGCTTGCTCGCGGAGGCGACAGCTCCTAGGACTTCATTATCTTCGTCGCCCCT